TGGCTTCATAGGAGATTGGGTATATGAGAAGCATGTATTATAAAACTCAGAATGGTTGTAAATTGTGAATAGTAATTCCTGCAGAAATGCAAATCATTTACATTTATAAGGTAGGATTATAATAACTATAGGTTAACTCACTGGTGATGGCAGGATAGCTCCAAAAATTTCAGCCATATATATTGTGAACCACAGAAAGGTATATATTGGAAATTAGGGTAGGAAATTTAACTAACATTTCTTGAGACTCCAATATGTGCCCAGTACTATAATTTATTTATATATATATATAATTTATATATATAGTTTATATATATATTATTTATATATATATATTATAGTACTGGGCATATATATATACATATATATATAATTTATATATATAGTACTGGGCGTATATATATATAGATACATATATATATACGTATAGATAGATACGTATATACGTATATATAGATAGATACGTATATACGTATCTATATATATAGATAGATAGATATGTATGTATATTTTAGATGGAATCTCATCCTGTCACCCAGGCTGGAGTGCAGTGGCATGATCTTGGCTTGCTGCAACCTCTGCCTCCTGGGTTCAAACAATTCTCTGCCTCAGCCTTCCAAGTAGCTGGGATTACAGGCACCTGCCACCACACCCGGCTAATTTTTGTTGTTGTTTTTTTTTGAGACAGAGTCTCGCTCTGTCTCCCAAGATGGAGTGCAGTGGCATGATCTCGACTCACTGCAACCTCCACCTCCTGAGTTCAAGTGGTTCTCCTGCCTCATCCTCTTGAGTAGCTGGAACTACAGGCATGTGCCACCATACCTGGCTAATTTTTGTATTTTTTAGTAGTAGACCAGGCTGGTCTCAAACTCCTGATCTCATGATCTGCCCGCCTTGACCTCCCAAAGTGCTGGGATTACATCCCAAAGTGCTGGGATTACAGACATGAGCCACTGCACCTGGACTATTATATATATTTTACAGAGTTTTCTTATTCAGTCTTAGCAACAAGACGAAAGATAGTCACTAGTATCCTCACATTACAGATAAAGAAACAATTCCATCAAGTAATTAAATTGGCCAGCTCACACAAATAAGAAAACATCTCTAGCTGACCACTGATTCTGTAGTCTTCCCATGACAGTCATGCTGCCCAGTGGGTATATCCTGCTTTCTGCTTACAGGGCTTGTGCAGGGGAACACATCTTTTTAAAACGATCAGATCTTGTGAGACTTACTCACTTTCACTAGAACAGCACAGGAAAGATTCACCCCCATAATTCAGTCACCTCGCACCAGTTTCCTCCCACAACACATGGGAATTGTGAAAGTTAAAATTCGAGTTGAGATTTGGGTGAAGACACAGCCAAACCACATTATTTCACCCCTGGCCCCTCCTAAATCACTTGTCCTCACATTTTAAAACCAATCATGTTTTCTTAACAGTCCCCCAAAGTCTTAACTCATTTCAGTATTAATTCAGATATGTACAGTCCAGTGTCTCATCTGAGACAAGGAAAGTCCCTTCCACCTATGACCCTGTAAAATCAAAAGCAAGTTAGTTACTTCCTAGATACAGTGGGGCTACACACATTGGGTAAATACAGCCATTCCAAATGGGAGAAATCAGCCAAAACAAAGGGGCTACAGGCCCCATGCAAGTCCAAAATCCAGTGAGGAAGTCAAATTTTAAAGCTCCAAAATGATCTCCTTTGACTCTATGTCTCGCATCCAGGTCACATTGATGCAAGAGATGGGTTCCCATGGTCTTGGGCAGCTCCACCCCTGTGGCTTTGCAGGGTAGAGCCTCCCTTCCAGCTGCTTTCATGGCTGGCATTGAGTGCCTACAGCTTTTCCAGGAGCACAGTGCAAGCTGTCAGTGGATCTGTTGTTCTGGGGTCTGGAGGAGGATGGCCCCTTCTCCTAGCTCCACTAGGTGGGCCCCAGTGGGGACTCTGTGTTGGGGCTCTGACCCCACATTTCCCTTCCACACTGCCCTGGCAGAGAGAGGTTCTCCTTGAGAGCTCCACCCCTGCAGCAAACTTCCGCCTGGACATCCAGGCATTTCCCTACATCCTCCGAAATCTAGGCAGAGTTTCCCAACCCTCAATTCTTGACTTCTGTGTACTTGCTGTGGAAGCTGCCAAGCCTTGGGGCTTGCACCCTCAACCATGAGAAGAGCACAGGAAAGACCCACCCTCATAATTCAGTCCTGGCTCTATGTTGGGCAATATCAGCCATGGGTGGAGTGGCTGGGAAGCAGGGCACCAAGTCCCTAGACTGCACACAGCAGAGGGACCCTGGGCCTGGCCCATAAAACCATTTTTTTTCTCCTAGGCCTCAGGGCCTGTGTTGGGAGGGGCCACCATGAAGACTTGTGACATGCCCTGGAGACATTCTCCCCATATTGTCCTGGGGAGTAACATTTGGCTCCTTGTTACTTATGTAAATTTCTGCAGCTGGCTTGAATTTCTCCTCAGAAAATGGGATTTTCTCTTTTATTGCATTGTCAGGCTGAAATTTTTCAAACTTTTTTGCTCTGCTTCCTTTATCAAACTAAATGCCTTTAAAAGCACCCAAATCACCATTTGAATGCTTTGCTGCTTAGAAATTTCTTCTGCCAGAGGCCTTAAATTATACCTCTCAAGTTCAAACTTCCACAAATCTCTAGGGCAGGGTTAAAATGACTCCAGTCTCTTTGCTAAAATATAACAAGTGTCACCTTTACTCCAGTTCCAAATAAGTTCCTCATCTCCATCTGAGAACACCTCAGCCAGGTTTTCATTATCCATATCATTATCAGCATTTTGGGCAAAGCCATGAAACAAGTCTCTAGGAAGTACCGAACTTTCCCACATTTTCCTGTCTTCTTCTGAACCCTCCAAACTGTTCCAGTCCCTGCCTGCTACCCAGTTCCAAAGTCACTTCCACATTTCAGGTATCTACAGCAGCACCCACTCTAGTGGTACTAATTTACTGTATTGGTCTGTTTTCATGCTTCTGATAAAGATGTACCTGAGACTCAGCAACTTACAAAAGAAAGTTTTGTAAACTTTCCTTTTGGACTCACAGTTCCACATGGCTGGAGAGACCTCACAATCATGGCAGAAGGTGAAAAGCACATCTCACAAGGCGGCAGACAAGAGAAGAGTGCTTGTGCAGAGGAACGCCTCTTTTTCAAACCATCAGATTTCATGAGACTTATTCACTATCATGAGAACAGTGCAGCAAAAACCTGCTGCCGTAATTCAATCACCTCCAACCAGGTTCCTTCCATGACATGTGGGAACTATGGGAGTTACAATTCAAGATGAGATTTGGGTGGGGACGCAGCCAAACCATATCATCAAGTGACTTAAAATAACAGAAACTTACTATCTCACAGGTTTGGAAGCTGGAAGTCAAGAAATCAAGGTGTCAGTAGGGCTATATCCCTCTGAAATTCATAAGCAAATTATTCCTTGCCTATTAGCTTGTGGAGGTTTACCAGCAGTCTTTGGTGTACCTTGGTTTGGCTCTTCAGATGGCCATCTTCTAAGGAACCAGTTATGTTGTGTTGGGGGCCCATCCAACTCCAGTATGACCTTTTCTTAACTAATTACATCTGTAATGACTCTGTTTTCAAAGAAAGTCACATTCTGAGGTCCTAGTGGTAAGGATGGCACATTTCTTTTTGAGGGAGGACATGCTTCAACCCATAACACCTTCCATGTTCCACCCCAATCAATACATCTTCCTTCTCAACAAAAGAAACAAAGGATGTTTTATTCATAATATCATCCCTGCCAAATCAGTGGTTGTGAGCAAGGAGATTGTGATGTATTCACTAAGAGGACTGTTACCTCTTCCATATTACAGATTAAGTATCCCTAATCCAAAATCCAAAATGCTTCAAAATTTGAAATTTTTGAGCAGTAACATAATGTTCAAAGGAAATGCTCATTAGATCATTTTGGATTTCAGATCTTGGAATTAGGGATACTTAACTGGTAAGTATATAATGCAAATATTCCAAAATAAAAAGAAATCCTAAATAATTCTGGTTCTAAGCATTTTGGATGCAGTACACTCCACCTGTACCTTATACCAATTCTTTTTTTCAAGTAGCTATTTTATAGAAAGCCTTCAAGCACTCTTTCAAAATCCAGTATGGCTGTAAACAGTTATATCTTTCTTTTTTTTTTTTTTTTAACAGTTATATCTTTCTATTACAGTCCTTGCTTTATGGTATCAGAGACCTCCTAGAGCTTAACCTTTCCCACTGTATAGCATAATAGTATTGTCTTAGTCAGTTTTGTGCTGCTATTACAGAATACCACAAACTGTGTAATTTATAATGAACAGAAATTTATTGGCTATGAGTATGGAGACTGGGAAATCTAAGATTGAGAGGCTGGTGTCTGGAGATGGTCTTCTTGCCGTGTCATCCCATGGTGAAATGTAGAAGGGCAAGAGAGGAAGCAGGGTGGTGGGTAGGAGGGGAGAAGGGAGAGAAAGGAAAAGTGGGAGAGAGAGACAGTCTGGGAGGGAGAGTGGAAAGTCTCACAAGATTATTTTATTTTTAGGTGGTGATGTTTTAAATTCTAATATTAAGAAGAAAAGTTGTTGGTCCTTAGATCAAATTGACTGTATAGATCATGTACTTCAGTCTGATAAATGAAGATAGGAATTTCAGTGTCAAACACAAAATAGCTATGAGTAAAGTTCTTTTGAGCACCATGTAATGCAGTCTAATTATGAGTGGTATCCAGATATGTAGGCAGCTATGAAAGCAATTTTAAGGCAAAATTTTACTTACTCTGCAAATATACTTCCCATAAATTAAATAAAGGCAATTTTTAAAATTTCTTTAATTTTTGATTTGTAAAGAGGATAGGCCAGTAAATAATTTATCAAACTTGTGGCTTGGCACCATGGTGAATGCCAGAAATAACTCAGCTTTATGAATGATTTTTCAAAAGGATTAATGAATGTATAATAAGTTTTCTTTCTTTTTCTAGCCAAGGACCCTTGTCATCCATTAGAGCAGTAATCAAGAGATGTAAGTTTGTTTTTTCCTTCTCTGTATTTTCCTCTGTAATAATTTTAAGTGATGATTTAGATTTCCAGCAGTTGATTATATTTGACGAATCTACAAAGAACCTAAGCGTAGCTTCTCCTAAGAAGTATTAAAGCCTTTCAGACCAACCTAGTCTTCAGCTTATATTTATTGATATGCCAGTTTCTCAGAACCATGTTTTTCTCTTACAAAACAAAACTGGGTTTTTTTTTTTCTTAATCCCAAATTATAAAGCTGTATAAAGCTGTTTTTTTTTAATTTGCCTATCTAATTTCTGTGATGTAATATAAATTTTGTGTAATCATTTTCTAGAGTGAGAGAATCTTATAGGTTTAAGAAATTTTAAATCCTGGCCCGGCACAGTGTCTCACACCTGTAATTCCAGCACTTTGCGGGGCCGAAGCAGGTGGAATACCTGAGGTCAAGAGTTCAAGACCAGTCCAACCGACATGGTGAAACCCCATCTCTACTAAAAATACAAAGACTTAGCCAGGCATGTTGGCAGGGGCCTGTAATCCCAGCTACTTGGGAGGCAGGAGAATCCACTTGAACCCGGGATCAGAGGTTGCAGTGAGCCAAGATCACATCACTGCACTCCAGCCTGGGCAACAAGATCGAAACTCTGTCTCAAAAAGAAAAAAAAAAAAAGAAATATTAAATTCTGTTCCTTTTGGTTCATTTGTTTCCACAGGTACTCTTCACAATATATTTTTTAACTGTGTAAGTGCTTATAAAGATGGACTTATACTACCACATCAAGATAGAAGTGCTAAGAGTAGAATTCCTGTCAGAAAGGAACATTTCTACTTCCTGTCCTTATCTCTTGGTTAAGACTTCAAAACTTGCTATTAGTGTGGTATTTTAACACTTTTTTAAATAAAAGGCTCTGGAAAGGTGTCTTTAAAAATAGAACATAGATTGCCTGTGATAGAAAAGGATAAATATAGGATTTTAGATGTTCTTCCCATTATTTGAACTGAGGTTACCACCCTGAGGAGAATGTGCCCTATTTTTAGAAACATAACTTTTTTTTTTTTTTTTTTTTTTGAGACAGAGTCTCTCTCTGTCACCCAGGCTGGAGTACAAGTGGCATGATCTCAGTTCACTGCAACCTCCTGGGCTCAAGCAATTCTCCTGCCTCAGCCTCCGAGTAGCTGGAATTACAGGCACCCACCACCACACCCAGCTGATTTTATATTTTCACCATATTGGTCAGGCTGGTCTCAAGTGACTTGCCCGCCTTGGCCTCCCAAAGTGCTAGGATTACAGGCATGAGCCACCATGGCCGGTCCAATAATTAGTAATATTTAGTGTGAATTTAGGATATTGACAGGTGATGAAGAACATGCATTTGAACAATTCCAGTGAAAATTTTACAAGGTGACAACACAGAAAAATATACCATGTTTCCCCACTCCATTTTTTTCTTTATTGGTGAACTATAAATATATGGAAATGCTATGATATATGATGAAGAGAATTTCAGATATAAAAATGAAAAATTCTTCATGGCTTTTCATGACTTATAACCCATGGGGTGGGGGTGGCAGAAGATGATAGAGAGATAATTTAAATACAAAATTAAGGTCTAGAACTTAGGCAAGAATTTCTTGGCTGGAGATATAACTTAGAATAATCATGGTTATAGGCAAAATCCTGAGGTAGCCAAATGTGTAGGGAGAAAGTATACAGGATAGGAAAGATGACAAGGGATAGAATCTTGGAGACACTGATGTCTGAGGACAAGCTATGCCTTCAAGGGGCATAAGGCAAAAATGCATGACCTAATGAACCCAGCCCTGCTGCATAAGGCCTCCTTTCACTGAGTCATTTCTGCCGGCTCCTGCCTTTGTTTCCTGGCTTCTTAACTCCCCTGGATTTCAGGACTTTTTTGTTAGGGAGACACAACCTGTGCCTGACTTTCCATAGATCCTTCAAGATGGATCTTGCTCATCCAGAGGCCCCTGTGCTTTGCAAGGTGCAGCTAAGACATGGGCATTAAAAGCTGAAAAGGGTTGGTCAGAGTAATAGAAGTAACAGGAGATAGCTGTATTTTAGAGGTCAAAGGAGAATATTTTAAAAGGAACAAGCGAATTACCAATCGCTCTTAATACTACAGCCAGGCCAAGCAAAAGGTGCTGAGAACAGGTCAAATACCACAAATTTGTTTAATCCGAGGAAGTGAGAATTAGATATATGAGCGGATAGTTGAGAAATTCGCAGAAAGAGCATGAGACAACACATGAAAATCTGTGGTGAAAACCAAAAGTGTTTGTAGCTATTAATCTTGTTAAGCACTGACACAAAATGTCAGTGTTTCTAGAAGGATCAAGAGAGAAAAGAAAGATTTCATAGATGAGTTAATGTGAAAATAATCAAAGAAGGAAAGGGGAAAGCAGTGATTCTCAAAGGATATACATAAGGATATCTGTAATTACAACTGCGAGACCCCTCCATGCTCTGCAGCTGCTGCTGGGGCCTGCTACCGGTGGCCTCTGGTGTGAGTGGGCAGAAGCAAGTTAAAATCGCTAATTTAAAACAATGTAAATCAACTACTGAATTGCCCTTTAAGTGTTATTCATACTTTAAAATCAATGCTTATCAAAGTAGCAAGTTGATTTTGCAAAATCGTTTTTAGATTTTTTGAAACTGTTGTTGAAAACTGCAGACAGGCCAGGCACAGTGGCTCACGCCTGTAATCCTAGTACATTAGAAGGCCAAGGTGGGCAGATCACTTGAGGTCAGGAGGTTGAGACCAGCCTAGGCAACATGCCAAAACCCTGTTTCTACAAAAAATAAAAAATTAGCTAGGCATGGTGGCACATACCTGTAGTCCCAGCTATTCAGGGGGCTGAGGCAGGAAGATCAAGGCTGCAGTAAGCTAATATTGCGCCACCACACTCCAGCCTGGGTAACAGACCGAGATCTTGTCTTAAACATGAAACAAAACAAAACACACAAAAATCTTCAAGCAGGTTTTTTGACTGTGGTTATGTGTGGATATCCTGGTCTGCAGACAAACTCTTTGCAGTAACATATTTCTTTACTTTCTGAAACTGTGGTTCATCAACTTTCCATTTCCATTTAAGTGTGCATAACAGGGAAAAACAGTGGCATGGCAAGACTGTCATGCTCCTGAATTCCTTTTAAAGGTTGGGCAGCTAGGTTCACTCTTTTCTCTTCCTTTCCTCTTCTATAACCCCTTCTTTTTTTCCCTTAGCACTCATGAATAGTGCACAGCAAAAATGCCCCGTGGAAGAGGTATGTTTGTGACAATAACATGAAGTCTTTTAAAAGTGGTATGTCTGCTGATTCCAGCATTAGTGATGGTGGTGATGTGATTATAGCAATCTTGAGCAGGCCTCTGACTTAACAAAACTGTTCTTACCAATCAGACAAACCATGCAGAGCTCTAGCGTCTCTGTCAGCCTGGTTTACTCTTGATAAAAATGATGACATCACACCAGTTGATGATGGGAATATGAGGACATCCTTCAAGTAGAGACCCAGGGGTTTTGGTTTCAGATGTTAGAATTTGGGCTTTGCCAACCCAGCAGAGGTTCACCTGTCACACCTTCAATCCAGCCTAAATTTCATTTCCACCTTCCACTTTCAACCCTGGCTCCATGAGCTTTGACAGCCTCCTTGTTCAGAGAGAAGCAGAAGTTAATAGGAGTGGGGGAAAAGATCTATGCTTCCAATCTTCTCAAATAAGAATTGAGCAAGTTGAGTATTACAGAGATAGGAAAGCAACTGTTTAAAATAGTTTATATCTGAAACAAATTTCCTTTGTGCACAAATTTTTATAGTATTCGTAGAATTTTTTCCCCAAAGGCATCTTTAGAATATGTTCCTTGAAAAATAGAGGTAATAGTCTCTATTAAATAAAAATTGGCTTCATATGTGACATGTTCCAGATTATCTGATTAAGACTTAGTTTGCTTTATAAAGCAAAATTTGGGCCAGCTGCAGTGGCTCATGCCTGTAATCCCAACACTTTGGGAGGCAGAGGCAGGTGGATCACCTGAAGTTGAGAGTTCAAGACCAGCCTGACCAACATGAAGAAACCCCAACTCTACTAAAAATACAAAATTAGCTGGGTGTGGTGGCACTTGCCTGTAATCCCAGCTACTCAGCGGCTGAGGCAGGAGAATCACATGAATCCAGGAGGCGGAGGTGGCAGTGAGCCGAGATCGCACCATTGCATTCCAGCCTGGACAACAAAAGCAAAACTCTGTCTCAAAACAACAAAAAAGTAAAATTTGGGGAAATAATTTAAACTATCAAGCTTAAGGACTTGAGTTTGAGACTTAAGAAAAAAGTCAGTGCTGCATATACAATAATATGTGCCATAAACATGTTTATAAAAGTGATTTGAACACCTTTTGCATTTATTCTTTTTTTCTTTTTTTTTTTAATAGTAATTTAAGTAAGAAAAGGCTAGACTTGTGCCTGTAATCGTGCCTGTAATCCCAGTACTTTGGGAAGCCCAGGCAGGAAGGTCACTGGAACCCAGGAGTTTGAGACCAGCAACATGGCAAAACCTCATCTCTCTAAAACATGCAAAAATTAGCCAGGCATAGTTTCATGTGCCTGTAGTCCCAGCTACTTGGGAGGCTGAAGCAGGAGAATGACTTGAGTCTGGGAAGTTGAGGCTGCATTGAGCCCTGATCATCACACCACTGCACTCCAGCCTGGACAACAGAGTGAGACCCTGTCTCAAAACAAATTATAAAACAACTTACAGGTTATAAAATTTCAGTTAAGTTAGAATAAAGATGAAAATTTGACCAGATTCATTCTATAATAGATTTATAAACAAATATCACAAAAGCATAGTCATATAGATTGGGATAGATATTTAAAATTTTTCCTGCCCATTGTTATTTCATATCATCATCTTAATGCTCCAACCATGCAACTTATATTTAATAGCTGTCTTCTTTTCTCTGTTCATTCTTCAAATTATTTTCACAACCACAGAATGTGCTTTGGGGAGTTTTATGCAATCTCCAATATACAACCATAATTAACTTTATGCCAATAAAATGATTATTTTGATTTACTTTTCTATTTAGGGATGTTAAAATTCATACATTCTATATGATGTCAAGTATAAGCTTTTTCCAACAGTTTACTCTGTGAAAATTTAAACCCTTACCTAATGTACTAATTTTGTACTATACCAGTTTATTCCTTCTTCAACAGCTTCTCGGACTTCTATTCAGAGTGAACTTCATCGAGATAGAAGGTATGGTTGTATTTATAATAGAGGACATATATTCTGCTAATAATTGAAATAAAAGTATATTATCAGGTAGCAAGTTAAATATTTCACTTTCATAAGCAATGTATTATTGTATTCTGCCTCAGTATATCTTCTAAATTATAAGTTTGAAAGACGATTTTGCTTGACAGAAGGAGTGATACAGGCTTGAAAATGTTCTTTTGAGTGTAATTTTTTACTGAAGTTGATTTTTAAAATGTTTATTAAACAACTGCTACATGTAAAGCATTATAACTGCTTCAGAGAAATGCTTTGTACCTCATGCTACTTAGTACATGTTGCCTAACCAAATGGCTGGATGACAGGATAGAAAATTGAATGGAAGGATAAAGAAAGGAAAAGAGGAGGTAGGCAGGATGAGTAAAGGCTGAATGGCTTTTTGGAAAAAGGAAGGGAAAAGAGAAGGGAGGAGAGATATTATTTGGATAGGTAGATGGAAGGACCAATGGACAGAGGGACTGTAGAATGGATGGAAGGATGGATAGACAAATAAAAGAATGGGAGGGGTGGACAGATGGGTAAATGGATGGGTAGATTTTTTTTTTTTACATTACATCATGGCATTCAATCAGATAGATAGGTTTTTATAAGTCATGGTCCCTGCTGTCAAATTTCTGATAGTACAGTATAGAATAATAAAGGACTTTAGAGTCAGAACCAAGTTCAAATCCTGACCACCACTTTCCTACCATGTAACCTTGGGCAACAAGCTGCTTAATCTCTCTAGCTTCTGTGTCCTCATCCTTAAAATGGTGCTAATCATACCTATATCACAAGGTTGTCGTAAGAATTAATGTACATCTGATGCTTAACATTTATTAACTAGTAACTCTTATTTAGTTAGACAAAAGCTATAAGCAGAGGTTCTTAGGGAATGCAGTTCAAATTTAATCAATGATTAGGTTCTACTGTTTCACAGTGTAGCATGAGAGTGTGTGAAATGCACAATTTTGATGACAGTGCTTTTTTGTTTTTATTTTCCATAGAGTGCTAAAGAAAGGCAGAGCAGGTATTATCATTTATATATGTTTGATTGATTTGTTCAGGGTCACACAGTTGGTGTTTGTTAGAAAATGAGGTTGAAGAGAAAATGTAAACATGCTCCTGGCACAGTGGCTCACACCTGTTGTTGCCAGCACATTGGAAAGATTGCTTGAGGCTAGGAGTTCAAAACCAGCCTGGGCAAGATAGCAAAACCTCATCTCTAGAAAAAAAATTTAAAAATTAACTGGGCATTGTGGTATGTGCCTATAGTCTCAGCTACTCAGGAAGCTGAGGTGGTGGGAGCTCGAGGCTGCAGTGATGTATAATTGCACCACTGCACTCCAGCCTGGGCAACAGAACAAGGCCCTGTCTCTACAAAATTAATTAATTAATTAGTTTAATTAAACATGAGAATGTAGAATCAGATTAAGATAAAAGGAGTCTTGCCGAAATCACTACAGCTCTTCAGTATTAATGAACACAGAAACACATATCAAAGTCTAGAAGTGAACATATAACCTCAAAACACTTAAACATAACTTTGAATTGGAACAGAGATGGAGTGAGGCAGAAGAGGATATTCTTTTTATATGGTAATTTTCATTTCAGAGTATGTATTTTATAATAACAGAAAACCAAGCCTGGCCCAGTGACCTCTAATCCCAGCATTTTGGGAGGCTGAGGTGGGCAGATCACTTGAGGTTAGGAGTTCAAGACCAGCCTGGCCAATATGGCGAAAACCCATCTCTACTAAAAATACAAAAATTAGCTGGGTGTGGTGGTGTATGCCTGTAATACCAGCTACTCAGGAGGAAGGCACAAGAATTGCTTGAACCTAGGAGGTGGAGGTTGCAGGGAGCCAAGATCGAGATTGCACCACTGCACTCCAGCCTGGGCAACAGAGTGAGACTCAGTCTCAAATAATAATAATAACAGAAAATCAAACAATTCCATTTGACTAGTGGGCTTTTATACCTTACGCTATACATCTGCCCTATAGGCTAGATAGCCCTGGAATGAAGAGACTGTATAGGCCTTACTTACTTAGTTCTTATCCCTATCAACCAAGGCAGAACCAAGTGTGCTCAGGGTCCATGTCTTCACTTTTTGAGGCCAAAGTCATAGAGGATAACTGTCATTTGCTCCCTTGAAGCCTGTCTGGGTGTACTGTCAGAGACACCCCAGGCCAGAAAGGTCATTTCTGTGACTGTGTTAGTTCTTATAACTTTTTTGTGTGGTGGTGGTTTTCATGAAACTTTGAATGTTTACAGAGAGACAGTAGCTTGTTACCAACCTGCAAAACCTCACTGAGGCTTCTGTCCACTAGGCGCCCAGAGATCACCATTGTGGCAGCTGAGCCGCTGAGGCCAGCCTCGTGGTTTCCGGGAACCCCACACCCAGGACTGGGATTTCCTGCATCATCTGCAGCAGGCCCTTGGAGGCCTAATGAGCTGTTTCCTGCTGAGGTGAATAAACATCACATTATCTCTTTGCATTTTATTTTTTAAATGAAATTCAAAGATAAGAACAGTGAGACTGTCAACACCTTGGCTATTGCCCATAGATGTCTAAAATCTTCATTCTTTACTTTTCAGCTCCCACCATCTTATGAACAAGTTATAAAAGAAATCAACCAAGTTCAAGTTAATACTACAAATAATAATAATGCTGCTGCCACTCCAAGGCACACTATTACTTCTGCAACTCAGACTGACTTTTCAGAAGAAATAGACAATGATCTGCCTCAAAGTAATGCAAGTATTCTGTCTTCCCTAATTCTGACCTAGTTCTAGGGAAGTAATCAGTAGGCTTCCAGCCTTTAAAATAATTTGCAATTTATACATAATTCATTGAGCTCTGCTGCCCAATCAGTGTGATCGCTGTGTGTTTGCTTTATTTGGGTATGCAGTGATTATTATAATAGATCATTCTTACAAACTGCAGTCCCAATCTCTTGAGTTCACCCTAGTTTATATCACAAAAACATCATCCATTTAACTCATGGTGGGTATTACCACTGATACTCTTTATTCCCACTGAGAAGCATCTTCTGTTTAGCGACTTAAACTTGATAGGATGCTAAGGGTGGTGGTCCTGTTAGGCTCTTTTAAAGTGTTGCATGGTGGCTCATGCCTGTAATCCCAGCACTTTGGGATTCTTACAGCGGGCATATTGCTTGAGCCCAGGAGTTTGAGACCAGCCTGGGCAACATAGTGAAACCCCATCTTTACAAAAAAAAAAAAAAAACCTGCAAAAATTAGCTGAGTGTGGTGGTGTGTGCCTGTAGGTCCCAGCTACTTGGGAGACTGAAGTGAGATGATCACTTGAGCACTGGAGGGTGAGGCTGCAGTGAGCCGTGATAGAGCCACTGTACTCTAGCCAGGGCAACGGAGCAAGACCCTGTATCAAAAAAAAAAGAAAAAACAAGAAGAATATTTATCATATGAAGAACACTCCTACAGGAAGCTGAGAATAAACATTTCCATTTTTGAATCATTTTTTTACTAATTAAAGAAGCCAAATCTCTTGATATTCCATGTATGTATTTTTAAATCTGTGTATCTTCTGTATTTTTTTCTTATAAATTGTTAACATTGCGGCTTCTTTTTATTTGTTTGTTTTGGTCTTATCAGCACTACAGGCACCTCTCAAGCCTCTTCAGCCTTTCCCAGCAGTCTCATCTGGCAATCTTCCAACAAATGTGGCACCGTTAATAGTCTTTGATATTTCTGAAGAACAGAATTGTCCAGAAAACCCCAGTGCTACAACATGTCCAGTGCCAAAACCAAGATCAAAAAGCAATCTCAGACCAATTGCCAGAGATTCTTACATTAAAGAGCAAAGTCACCAGAAAATCAGCCCAGCAGCCATAGGAGAGGAGTCATCCCCAGGCTGGCCCCAGTCTGTGCTGCACAACACTAGCACCTCAGACAGTCAGGCAGTAATGAACATTATGAACACGGAACAAAGCCAAAATAGTATTGTTTCCAAAATCAAAGTGTTTGAGGATCAGACAACTATAGAAACCTCAGGACTGCCCAAGAAACCAGAAATTACTCCACGTTCACTTCCTCCAAAGCCTGCTGTTTCCTCAGGGAAACCTTCTGTGGCTCCCAAACCAGCTGCTAACAGAGCTTCCGGAGAGTGGGACTCTGGGACTGAGAACAGACTCAAGGTGACCTCCAAGGAAGGGCTCACCCAGTACCCTCCCCTGCAAGAATATGGAAGCATCCCAGTAACCAAACCTGAATTGCCAAAGAAACCAAACCCTGGCCTTATACGAAGTGTTAATCCTGAGATTCTGGGAAGAGGGCCCCTAGCTGAGAGCTCTGATAGTGGGAAGAAAGTGCCAACTCCTGCCCCGCGGCCTTTGCTACTGAAGAAATCTGTTTCCTCAGAAAACCCCACCTACCCTGCAGCTCCATTGAAACCTGTCACTGTTCCTCCCCGACTCTCAGGGGCATCACAAGCCAAAGCATACAAGTCCCTGGGAGAAGGGCCCCTGGCCAACCCCTCAGTTCCAGTTCTACAGAGCAAGCCCTTGGGGGATATTGATCTCATCAGCTTTGATGATGATGTTCAGCCCACCCCATCGGGGAACCTGGCTGAAGAATCTGTTGGTTCAGAGACGGTTCTAGGTGAGTGAAAAATCAGCAATGGAGGGGAAGCTAAACTCATGATAGAGTATTTTAAATGGCGCTTGCTGTTTTAGTTTCCAGTACATAAGTTATTGAGATGCATGCATGCGTGTGTGTGTGTGTGTGTGTGTGTGTGTATGTGTGTGTGTGTGTGTAGAGACAGAGACAGGAATGAACAGAGAGATCAAGAAACATGGAGTTAAGTAGAGAATGGAGACAGGGAGGGAAGGGAAAATACAGGATGGGGGTGATGGAGTCAGAAAGAAAGAGGGAGACCCATGTATTGGTTACTACTACATGAGCAAGAAGGAAGCAGATTGGGGCTAGGGACTAAACTATAATAGGTTGTGGGGCTAGCTCCCCTCACTCTTGGCACATAGAAATTCAGGCTTCACATTGAAAGGATCCAGGGAGGTTGGACAACATGTAGAAGGATGCAGAGGAATCTTCTCATAGACGGGAAGTCATGCAGTGGCCCTAGAGGGGCTCCTCAGATGAAATGGGCCCAGGGGCCAGCTCCAGGGGAGGATTCTGGAAAATGTACGGAATGAGGACCCAGCCACATGTTGCAAAATAGTTCCTTTAATCTTCACAGAACATCTTCCTTTGAGAGTGAAAAGTTTTGTAAATAAAATACAACATTTGTAAGTTAGCTGCCAAGATCAGTACAATTAAATTTCCCAGAAGGCAGAGTGTATTTTCTTTCCTCTCACTGTTCGGTTGGAGAGTGTGATGGTAAAGCTTATCTTTGACTTGTCAAACTAAGCTGCTCTACTTGTCATCGATAAGATTTCTTTTACTGCCATTTATTTATTTGGTTGGAAGTTGTGAACATATAAACTTAACGGAATTTTCAAAAGGTTAACTGTCACTGTGTAAATGTTTAACATGCATCAAAATAGTACAGGCTCTGTGATTTCAAAACCAAATTCTGTACAGCACATGTGTATTTAAAATGAAAGCAAACATACACATTATTAAATATTCACACGCAGAACATTGTAACTGACACACTACATTTTAGCGTATAAATTAAAAGACATACATGGCTTTTGTCCATAAAGGGTCAAAGGTAAAACATTTGAATATATTAAGCTTCTGCAGTATACCTAACGCTCTGCTAAATACTGAGGCATACATTATTTTATTTAATAATTGCAACAATCCTCTGTGAGATATCACTGGCCTAAGTTTGCAAATGAAGACGGTGAGGCTGAGAGAGATCTATGGATAACTTGACCAGTGTCATAAAACAATTGTCTAAGTCAGGATTCAAACTTAGTGTTTTTATTCTAAGTCTGGTTTATTTTTCACTATATAATGTTGCTACCCAATATTTTCATAAATCCTTAACCAGGCAACACTTTAAAAACTTTTCAAGTCTTTGATAATAGCATTTTCTTATATAAACCTTTTTGGTGTTAACAAGATTCAGAGGACAGGCAAACCCAACAGCACCAAGCTGTTAAGGGGTGGAAACCATGCAAGCCAAAGAAATAATACCTTTTGTAGTACTTGCTAGTTTCTATGGGGATAGGAACTTGACTAATAATTTCTGAGAATTTATTTTGTGTCATCTAGTAGATAATTATAGTCATCCTCAAAAAGGAAGGTCAACAATATACTTTCAACATGAATACAGTCTCATGCTTCATACTCAGCCTTTTCTGCTTCTTGATTTCTACAACTTCATTGCACAACATTTAATTATTGGGGCATCTTTTAGCAAAGTGTGTAATTTGCTTGTGCTATCTGACTTTAACCATTGCTCTTGACTATGGAGTTATACTGAGCTGAATACCACCTTCTTTCTAAACCTGCCTTTCTTCCTATATTTTGCAACTCACTAGTGACACCAACACACACACCAGCCTTCCCTGGAGAAACCCAGAGATCATCATGGAGTCTTCTCACCATGTTACACAGTGGCTAGCTGTTCAGATTTGGAGTCTGCCAGGGCCTACCATAATTGTTATGTGACCTTGGGCAACTTACTTAACCTCACAGTGCCTCTGTTTCCTCATTTGTAAGACATAATCATACTCCTCAGAGAGAGTATTGCAAGGGTTAAATGTGATTATGTAGGAAAGCGGTATCACACTGTGTGAAACATGATGATCATTAAGTAGCAGTTATTATTGTTACTTCTCTGCCTTCGCATCTAATTAATTACCAACTCTTGCTGCTGGTTTTACCTTCCAAATAGTTCTTGACTCTGCCTCTCCTTTTCATCCCTCCTTTTTCTGTCCCACCTTAGGCCTTTATGCTCCGATAACTGCAGTAGCCTTCTAAATTGAGCCCGCTCACATGAACCTATCATCTTCCACACTGTGACTACCCAGGGGATTTTCTAGAATGCATACTTGCCCTGTTGCTTCCCTACTTAGGTCCTCCAAAGGCCTTCAGTATCACCTCTGAATGCCTTGACCTGTGAAGGGATTTTCATTTGCTTTTTGATTTGGGGCTTTGTGACTTTTTGACGGTGTTTTTGGTAGCATTGTCATTGTAAATAAAGGTTTATGGTCTCTGGAAAACCTTGCCTAATCATCCAGACACCAGGCAGAAACTGGGAGAGGAACACAGGAGAAAGAAGAGAAACTTACAAATTCGTCTTCCCTTCCCTTTCTCTTACCTCGAAAATAAAGAAAATCTAATAAAATAGCATTCATAAAATGAAGTTGCCATATTAATCTCAAGCAATAAAGATCCAAAAATACTGAAGCTATGAAAACATTTTAAAGATTAGAAAAATTATTAAAGGAAAACTAATAAAACAGGCAATTTAATATTGGATTCATTTCTTGGGTAGAATGCCTTCCAGGTTAATGTAATGGAGCCGAGAAGTATTAGCAATTCCTCTTCACACCTCTCCAAAATCATACCCAGTTGTCAAAAAAAGCAGAATGTTTCTGCCATCAGCCCCATTACACAGACCAAAATAATAGTTTAGCCGCCAATTTCTGCTATTAACAGAACTCAAGGGAAAGAAATGACAGAAAAGCAAGCCAGGGATGGTGAAACTAATTATAATGACAAGCACATTATTAGAGACAGGTAATGGGCGGAAAACTACTTCATCATCAGTGTTTTCTCAATCCACTAAGCCTGTGCAGATATAGGTGTAAAGAGGCCTGCTTGTTCAGCAGCAGGTGTGGAATAATTGGTGCTGATGTGAGGGGGTAGAGAGAAGACAGAATACACACTACAAATAAAAGTAGACAAAAATCCATTGCCTTGTCTTAGATTCAGATAGGAGATTCTTCTTAAGATGCTCTGTGGTTTGTTTGTTTGTTTGTTTTTTCTGTAGAAACAAGAGCAATCTGTGATAGAATCATGGCAGCAAATTCTTAATCCTTTTCAGATTACTAATATCTGAGAATCTGAGGTAACCTGAGACTCTTTTCTCTCCCTTGAAAATAGCCTTTAATTCAATGACCATTTGGAGCTGTGAGGGAAAAAAATGAAAGAAAGAAAAGAAAATAGCCATTAGCTCATGTGTACACAGTTCACGGTGTGTACAATATCCAGAACTTCAAGGGCCCATTTTGGGCTCTAGATGAAGGACTTCCACCATAGAATATTGGAAGTAAATGTCAATGGACTGCTTAAATTACATCCATAACTGGAGTATTTTGTGATAATTAAAAGCGAGGGAGACCTATTACCCCCTACTGTAGACCAACCTCCAACATATTATGAGGTGAAAAATGCAAGATACAGGATAGATTTTATGTTATTTTAGGTATTGTTTGTGTTAAATGTGAATGCAGTTGTATGGTGATGTATGAAAAGTTGGTAACAAAGGTTGTCTTCTGTGAAGGAACTGGATAGGAGAAAACAGGGAACCTGGTTTTCACTGTATGCATTTTGACCTCTTTTGAATTTCAGACCATGTGGAGGCATTACCTGTGACAAGATAGTAAAGCAATAATCTTTTTAAAATAGCTGAACATAAGCATAATTAGACTGAAAGAAACTGGGAAAATTATCTCTTCTCATCTTTCCTACTTCTGAAGAACTGCTTCCCCTATTGACCCTCAGAGTCTGATAAGTAGAAATTTTTAAAATAAAAAATAGTGATTTATCTGAAAGATTATATTATTCAAGGTTACAAATAGAAACTAGTTATTATGAACTAAATATGTCTAAATTAGACAAATTCAAAATTTTATATCTGCATTATTTCCTTCTAAATTGAATCCAAAAAAGAGTTTTTATTTTTCTGGTAACTTTATGGAAAATTTTATGGCCATTATTGCCTGAAAAAGTAATGAAAGAAACCAGAAGTTTCCTCTTTTGTTTTCTTATTTTTAAGTGGTTTTGTTCTGGTTCGTTTGGCAGAAGTGTTATCTCAGCTTAATCTTCTAACTTTTTCCTTATGATGGAATTTATGTTATTGGATTTGTTTCAGTTAGAAAAGTAAAATATATTCATTGTAACAAGTTAAATAATTCAGAGATTTTGGGTTAAAAAAATGTAATCTCCCCACAGTGACCAATGTGAACAAAGTATGCAGTCTTCTGTGCCTTTGGGCATGCCAAAACCAAGTTTACACATATCTACATAGTGGACTTTTTCCAGAAATTTTTACCATACTATACCTGTTACTCAGAAGAGTGCTTTTTTCTTTTTTTTTTTTTTCTGAGACGGAGTCTCATTCTGTCACCCAGGCTGGAGTGCAGTGGCACAATCTCAGCTCACTGCAGCCTCTGCCTCCCAGGTTCATGCAATTCTCCTGCCTCAGCCTCATGAGTAGCTGAGATTACAGGCATGCATCACCACACCCAGCTAATTTTTGTAGTTTTAGTAGAGACGGGGTTTCACCATGTTGGCCAGTATGGTCTCAATCTCTTGACCTTAGGTGATCTGCCCACCTCAGTCTCCCAAAGTGCTGGGATTACAGGTGTGAGCCTCCATGCCCAGCCAGCAGAGTGCTTTATTAAACAATGACATTTATCATTTCTCTTCAGAATAATAGGTCTAAGTCCAACTCATTTTCTCCTTATACCCCTATAGCTGCCTGATACCTCATAATATATCATAACTGGTTCAGTATTTCCCATTGTTGGAATATCAGGTTGTTTCATTGGTTTTTTATTTGGGGGTGTGTTGTTTGTTTTGTTCCTTGTTGGGTTTTGCCACTACAAAAAATGCTTCAGTAAATACTCTCAGAAACTTGTTCACGTGTATTGATGCTTTTATTTCTGAAGAATAAATTTCTGAAAGTGGGACTACTAGTCAAAGGTTATGAACTTTAAACATTTTAACTAGTACTGATGATCCAGTTTCTCACCTAGTGGTGTCTAGAGTACCCCAACATGAAGGGCCAGCCTTGCTTTATATGTTGCCCACTTATAATTTCTGTTGGAAAAAATAGACCTCTTATGAAAAGACTTAAAAAGTGAACTTACCATGTTGCTAGAGAGAAACTTGCACACCATCATAAGGTAAAAAGCAGGGCTCTGCCTCCACCTTCTCATTGAAGTGATGCTGTTTATCCTCCCCACTAATCTGCACTCCTCACATGGATCACAGCCCAGACAACATGCAGACAGAGAGGCAGATGCAGAGCTCACTGACTCAGTGAGCACAGCTTGGGGAGATCATTAAACAGACCACTCCTGCCAAACAGCCTGTGGTGGTGGAACACAAAGACTTCCTTGCCTCGCTACATGGAGAAAGAAATTTTTTCCCAGAGACCTGTATAGTAGAATAATTACACATTATCTGAGTGCCAGTAATTAAAGAACATCTAATAGTATTAAAAAGTAAAAGAAAACAAGAGAGAGAGTGAATAAGCTAGGACACTTTGAATACTTCATAAGTTATATCTATGCTACTTCAATTTAAATTCTTCAGTTTAAAACAAAAAATGATTGGACTCTTGAACACGATAGGTGACATCTGCCCACGCTGTGTACAGGATTTCCTGAGGTCATTCCTCCCACAGCAAGCGCGTTTTGGATGCCCCCTGTGTTCAGCCCTCAGGGGTGCTGATTGGCCTCTTTTCTCCTTTCCCTGCCCGCCCCCACCCCCATCTATGCCCTCACTTGTGAAATGTGAGTATGTAGGTGGTATACTGGACCAGAATTTAATTTGATTTGGGAAACAATGTAAGTCATTCCATGCTCAAGATTTTCTTCCCCCTTCACACACACCCAAAAAGCATCACTGAATAAAATTTTAAACTAATAACCAACTGGTTATTGGTACCAAAAGCAGCTATTAAAGAAATAGCACTTTAGGCCAGGCATGAAGGCTCACACCTATAATCCTAGCACTTTGAGAAGCCAAGGTGGCTTCTCACTTGACCCCGAAAGGTCGATACCAGCCTGGGCAACATAATAAAACTTCATCTCTTTAAAAAATAAAAATTAGCCAAGTATGGTGGCACAGTCCTGTAGTCCCAGATACTCAGGAGGCCAAGGTGGGAGGACTGCTTGAACCCAGGAGGAAGTTGAGGCTGCAATGAGCCATGATTGCACCATTGTACTCCAGCTTGGGTGACAGAGTGAGACCATGTCTCAAAAAAAAAAAAAAAAAAGAAAGAAAGAAAGAAAGAAATGAAAAGTAGGGCACTATGAATGATTATTGGAAGAACTATTCAGATATGTAAAATCCAGTTGTTGGAAAGACAGTCAAACAATGTCACCTCCCTCCCTCACCTATTGCACTCCTGTTTCCTTCTGCAACCTGCTTCCCCTCTGCCCATACCTTGTTCTGCTTTTTCATCTTTCAATATACTTCTCACCTTCAAATATACCACATGAATTCCTTATCTGTTATATGTATTGTTTCTTGTCCCCATCTCCCTGCTGGAATGTAAGCTTCATGAAGGCAGAGTTATGTGCTTTGTTCACTGCTATAGTCCCAGTACATAGAAGGTTTAATGCATAGCAGGCACCCAGTCAATATTGAATGAACAAAAGTGAAAAATCAAACTACAAAGAAATTTATATAAAATGATCCTGGATGTGTCTTTCAAAACATCTGTATAATAGTAATACATGTAATATTTATAGAAAATACATAGACATACCATAATTTTAGACAGTAATTTTAGAGAGATTATAATATAAGAGGTTTTCTTTTTCTATTTTCTGTAATTCTTAATTTTTCTCTTTTGCAACAAATACTACTTTGAAGTTAAAAAGTACTGTTATACTTGTTCTTATATATTTGTTATAATAAAATTAAAGAATTAAGGAATTTGGTTAAATCTAAAAATGAACTTTGTTGTTTTATGGGTGACAGGTCACAGCAGAAGAAAGTTATATGGTTAATATAGTAGTCTTTTTTTTTTAAGTTTGATAAGATTCTTTTGATAATCTTGGTTTTTTTGAATGTAAGACGCCTCACTCACTGTGAGCTGGCAAGATTCCAGAGAGGAGTCATCTATTTTTTTTTCTCAAGTAGTGTAATAATAATTTTAGCTAGCTTGCCATCTGGGGACCCTTCCTAACTGGTAGATAAGAAACTTAAAATAGAATTGTACTTTACCATCATACCTCCCCACCCAGCACTGTTACTGGCATAAATATGTAAGCAAGTGGTTGGTGAGAGAGTGATGCCTTTGGCAGGGTGTCTGATGGTGGGGTTGCCTGAAAACTGGGTGGAAGAGAAGGTAAAGTACCAGATTGCTAAAATGGTTTTTATTCTTAGCTCAGCACTTCATGTATCCTGCAAAGAACTGGTCAGCAAAATATGCTTATTGAATTGCACCTCATAACAGGCAGAATGTGAATGCTGTTCATCACAGGAGCTATGGAGTGCATCGTTTTATAGGGATTATCTCCCCACAGGCAAGATCCATAGAACAGGTGCAGAATTACAGCATATACTCATTTCCCCTCTTGTTAAATAAAGTCAAAGACAGTTTCATGCGATCCTACGTGCTGAGTAGTAGAATATCCATTATAGAGCATTTTCTTTTATTTTTGCTAATCTTTATATTTGTAGATTTCCCTTTTTAAAAAAAAAAATAAAGTTCCAAACCACTAAAAAGGACATTTATATTAAAGACTTTCAGTAAAAAGATTTACAGCTATGCTTTTGTTTAAAGTAAGCTTTTTGTTTAAAGTAAGTATGCTTTTGTTTCTCCTAAGCATATACTGTCCATTTAAAAGATTGGGTTAATGCATTACTTTTAATGGCAAAAAACACAATTACTTAATAAATCGCTTAAGACAGAGGAATGCCGAGTCATATATCCTTGCCCCAAAATTAAATATTTGAAGAGATATGTCTTATATTTATGGGATAGAATGTTTTTTATTTTCGTTTTACTGAAGTGTAGTTTTACTCAACTAAATCTGAGACTGCTGAGCACCTTCCCTGTGCCAGGCACGGCACTGGGTAGGATGGGTGCCCTGGGAGTACATATTCCAGGACAGGCACAAGGGGTGTCCAGGGAAAGAGTCTTTCTTTCCTCTCTGGGGCATCTGGGAGGCTTTAGGATGTGGGAAAGATGGTCTCCTTCTCTCAATTGCCTCTCATTTTCAGGCAGACATGTATGAAATGATTACACTCCCCTGAAAGATCAGCTTCTACATAATTCAAGATCATCCTCGATCTCTCTCATCAGAGAAAGAAAAGCCACATGAATTATTTACAGAACACTAAGTTATTTCCTTTTATGAGCTCCAACTTTGTTTTTGTCTCTGCAAACTGAGATTTTGTTTATCCATGAATAGTTTCCCCTGGGGCATGAAAAATATGACTCTTAAATTATGAATGAGGTTTTTTGTTTCAGTCCATGTTAACTAAAACATGCAAAATAAACTGTGTTTTTCATTAGATCCCTTTCAGCTCCCTGCAAAAACAGAACCAATAAAAGAACGAGCAGTTCAACCAGCACCCACCAGGAAGCCCACTGTAATTCGAATTCCAGCCAAACCAGGAAAATGTAAGCACTTCTCTGCCTTCTTTATTTGCTTCTTCAAGAGCTTAGGAGAAATATATGCTAATTTATCAATGTCTGTTTTTGAAGTTATATATAATCTGCCATTCATAGTCAAAGCTATTTAAAAGCAAGTTGTTTTTTTCACAGTTCTTCAAAGAATTAGTACAGTAAATTTGAATTTTTTCTTTTCTTTTTGGAGGTGGGGAGTCTCACTCTCTTACCCAGGCTGGAGTGCTGTGGAGCAATCTTGGCTCACTGTAACCTCTACCTCCTGGGTTCAAGCAATTCTCCTGTCTCAGCCTCCCAAATAGCGGGGACTACAGGTGCACACCACCACGCCTGGCTAATTTTTATATTTTTAATAGAGGCAGAGTTTCACCACATTGGTCAGGCTGCGGATTTCATTTTTCTTTAATGATGTCTTTAGACAGAGAACAGAGGGAGACTGAAATTTAGAACAATTGTTATATTCCATGTTAATACCTCTGGTACAGATTTGTTGGGAAAGTAACCTAAACCAATAGCAAATAAAGTTGTATATGTCTATCAATCAGGAGTATATTATTCCAGTCAGCATAATCTCAAATATGGCTATGTGAATTCTGTGAAGATTAGTAGCCAAAAGCTTTAAAAACTCATAATAGTTTATAAAAATAATTCTTAATTTAGTGTAACGTTACATTTTGATTTACTTCCTTACTTGATTTTTTAATGGTATAACAAATGAAATTATATAAGCGCTCTAATAATTACGTCATAAAGAAATCTGATAGTTATCATAATGGGAAAGCCACAAGGGCCAGAACTATTTCTTTTAGGTGTGAGATTATTTAAAAGGTGATTAAAAGTATGTTTATATATGCGTACACACACACAGTGGGTTCCAGAGAAGTTCCTGGCACTGCTTGGAGTGATCACACAGCTTTCTGTGAGGGCCTTTGATTTCATTTATATCTGCACTGCCTTTATATAGCCCACATGCATTCTTGCCTTTGTCTAATAAGAGATTCTGCCCACTTCATTCCTCCTAAAGCAGAACAAGCATTTCACTCTTTCATCTGTAGCACCCAGGATTATACTGCAGGAATATTCCCTGTGTTGTAGGGGGTTTGGTTTTTCTATAAAGCACTACCCAGAAGGATCATGTTAGTTTTTTATCTTCTTGATGATTCTGTTATTAACTGATGGTTCTCAGCCAAGTAGCAAGAAAATTTAACTGAGTTGCTATGGAGAATGAGGAGGAGAAAAAAAACAAGGGTATCAAATTCTGGTTCTAGTTTCTTTGGAAGTTATATTTCATTTCTTTAGAGGTAATATTTTAATGTTAGATTTAAAAACTGGTGGTAGGTGGTAGGCCAGGCATGGTGGCTCACACCTGTAATCCCAGCACTTTGGGAGGCCAAGGTGGGCAGATCACTTGAGGCCAGGAGTTCAAGACCAGCCTGGCCAACATGGTGAAGCCCCATCTCTATCAGAAATACAAAAAAATTAGCCAAGCATGGTGGCACATCCCTGTAATCCCAGCTACTAGAGAGGCTGAGGCACAAGAATCGCTTGAACTCGGGAGGTGGAGGTTGAAGTGAGCTGAGATAACACCACTGCACTTCAACCTGGACAATAGAGCAAGACTCTATCTCAAAGAAAAAAAAAAGTGGTATATTTCTTTTGGCAGCATTATATAGCCCATAAATCAGTAAAATGATAGCTCATTGGGTTGTTTGCCTGTTTGCTATTACTTTGTTAAATGTATTCTGGATTTTAACAGGTATAGTAACATATAATGTTAAGAAATATTGCCGTGGGTTTTAAGTAATACAACTTTTACAGAAATTAGTAATAAATACAAATTTTTTTTTTTTTTTTTTTGAGATGGAGTTTCGCTCTTGTTACCCAGGCTGGAGTGCAATGGCGTGATCTCGGCTCACCGCAACCTCCGCCTCCTGGGTTCAGGCAATTCTCCTGCCTCAGCCTCCTGAGTTGCTGGGATTATAGGCACACACCACCATGCCCAGCTAATTTTTTGTATTTTTAGTAGAGACGGGGTTTCACCATGTTGACCAGGATGGTCTTGATCACCCCAGGTTTGATGATTCACTAGGAGGACTCACAGGACTCAACATATAGTTGTATGTATGGCTCTTATGTATTATAGCAAAAGTATATGAGGTACAATCAGCAAAGAGAAAAGGCAAATGGGGTGAAGTCTGGAAGAAACCAGATACACACTTACAAGAGCCTTCTACTGGTATAATCAGAGAACATACTTAACTCCTCCAGCAATTAGTTGTGACGATACGTGTGAAATGTTGACCAGAGAAGCTCATTAGCGATTCAGTGCCCCGGATTTTTATTGGGGGCTGTTTATATAGGCACTCCTAAAAATTTTGGCACATACCAAAATTCCAGATTCCCAGAAGAAAAGCAGATGTTCAGCATAAACCATATTCTGTTTTATCAGTTTTGAGGATGGCAAGAACTGTCCCAAAGTTCAAGCTCTTATATGCCAGTCCGTGACCAATCTTGTGGCTGGACGTGGTGGTTCACACCTCTAATTCCAGCACTTAAGGAGGCAGAAGCGGGTGGATCACCTGAAGTCATGAGTTCAAGACCAGCCTGGCCAACATGGCAAAATCCTGTCTCTACTAACAATACAAAAATTAGCTGGGGATGGTGGCATGCCTCAGGCTGAGGCAGGAGAATCACTTGAACTGGGAGGCAGAGGTTGCAGTGAGTCAAGATCGCTGTATTGCACTCCAGCCTGGGCGACAAGAGCAAAACAAAACAAAAAAAGGGACCAATCTTGTAAGCAGGACTTTATAGGGATGAAGTTTCAGGCCTGCTATGTTTACTTTTTCTGTACCATGTAAACTACATTAATGAGCTCTGGAATCCTGAAAAGGATATGCTGAGGAAGCAGCCTTAATTATTATCCTGACAAAGCTCCAAGAAATGGTAGAAAGTTGAATTCTAGGAGTTCGAGACCAGCGTGGCCAACAAGGTGAAACCTCATCTCTTCTAAAAACATAAAAATTAGCCTGGCATAAAAAAGAATGCGTTCATGTCCTTTGCAGGGACATAGATAAAGCTGGAAGCCATCACTCTTAGCAAAATAACACAGGAACAGAAAACCAAACACCGAATGTTCTCACTCATAAGTGGGAGTTGAACAATAAGAACACATGGACACAGGAAGGGGAACAACATACACTGGGGCCTGTCAGGGGTAGGGGGCAAGGCAAGAGAGCATTAGGACAAATACCTAATGCATTTGTCCTTAAAACCTAGTTAACAGGTTGATAGGTGAAACAAACTATCATGGCACATGTATATCTATGTAACCTACACATTCAGCACATGTATCTCAGAACTTAAAATTTCATTTAATTATTTTTTAAAAGAATAAAAATAAAGGCGTAATTAAATTAGCCAGGCATGGTGGCACACACCTGTAAACCACAGCTACCTGGGAGGCTAAGGTAGGAGAATTGCTTGAACCCAGGAGTCAAAAGTTGCAGTGAGCCAAGATCACACCACTGCATTCCAGCCTGTGCAACAAAGCATGACTTCATCTAAAAAAAAAAAGAAAGGAAAGTTGGATTCTATGCTGCTAAATGTGGAAGAACTGAAATGACAGAATGGTTCCTAGAGACTTTTTTCTATTTGTATCAAAAATCAATTCCTCAGCATTTTATTAATATAATCATTAACCAATGCATATATTCTGTGGAGGAAAAAGAATGAAACTTTGGTGTCTGAAAAATTTGGAATGGTCAAGGGAAAAAGGAACTAGCTTCATGGTGCAGATGTCCTTGAACTTATTTGAACCTGTCAACCTGTCAGCTTCTTTCCCCTGGGGCCTGTTTCTTCTGACCAGGTTGTCCTTTTCCCAGAGGTCTGCATAGCTCCCTCCCTCACCAATCCTTCAGGTCTTTATTCAGTGCCACTTTTTCTCAGAGACCTTCCCTGACTACATTATTTAAAATTGGAAATTTCTTACCTCCACATCCCACACACATTCACACGAGATACTCCCTATGTTCCTCCTTTCAGTAAGCTTTCTCCTTTCTACTTTCATATTACTGCTGTGTACTCTTAAATATTTGTCACGACAGTTTTATATTCTAAATGGTCAACTATTTCCTTGTAAGAATAAGGAAACCACAGCACAGAAAATATCTTGAAGATGGTGACTAAGTTGGATTTTTTTTAATGTATATCTTAATTCCCAGAGCAGCCTTGCCTCTCACTAAGAATGTTTACCTCGCTCTAAGTCATTGTTTTCCGAGTTGCTAGCCTGGGTATTTTCTTCCCTTTGAGAATGTTTTCCTGTCTCAGGACAAAACAGGAACCTGACAAATCATCTTCTTGTTATAGATTTTTCACTTGAAGTGGAAGTAGGGAGTGTACATTTGAAAAAAAAGAGAGAGAGACAGAATGCTCACCTGCTCATCTGCTCATCTCCTTTTAATGCCTAAACCAAACAGTGTAAAAGATGGCTTTAGTATCCTTCGGTATGTTACAGTCATCCACTCTCCAATTGTTTTTGCACACTCATTTTAATTAGCTGTCACTAATCAAATCTGATCATCTTTGTTTCATTCTTTTTAAAATAAGTGAGGGGTACATTATCACTGATACAGGTGTGGTTTGGATATAAAGGTACTGTTTGTTTAATTGAGGTCAATTACATTCATTAAACAGAAGCTAATGAATTAGAAAACACATTGAATTCTTTTTGGATAATGGAGTGTTGGATACACCACCAATTAAGAAGCAGCATGGTGGCCAGGCAAGATGGCTCATGCCTGTAATCCCAGCACTTTGGGAGGCCAAGGCGGGTGGATCACAAGGTCAGGAGTTCAAGAACCGCCTGACCCACATGGTGAAACCCTGTCTCTACTAAAAATACAAAAAATTAGCTGAGCATGGTAGCACATGCCTGTGATCCCAGCTACTCAGGAGGCTGAGGCAGGAGAATTGCTTGAACCTGGAAGGTGGAGGTTGCAGTGAGCTGAGGTCACTCCACTGTACTCCAACCTGGGCAATCTTGGTATGCGTCAAGATCTCTGTCTCAAAATAAATAAATTATTAATTAAATTAATTTAATAGACTGTCTCAAAAATAAATTAATTAAATTGAATAAAAAGAAGCAGCATGGCTTGTCAAAATGAACATGGGCTTTTAGGTTCAAAACAATGAATCTGACAGTTACTAGCAGTAAGACATTCAATATCACATTTATTTTCTTATCACATTATTTAGCTTCAGTTTCTTCATCTGTAAAACAGGATATCATCTAGTGTAGCCCTATGCAATAGAACTTTCTGTAAAGATAGAAATGTTTTGAAACTGTGCTGGTAGCCACTAGTCACAAGTGGCTATTTAATATTTGAAATGTGGCTAGTGCAACTGAGGAACTAAAATTTTAATTTAATTTAAATTAATTAAGATTTAAGACTAAAGCCGGGAGCGGTGGCTCAGCCTGTAATCCCAGCACTTTGGGAGGCCAAGGCAGGCGGATCACAAGGTCAAGAGATCAAGACCATCCTGGCCAACATAGTGAAACCCCCCGTCTCTACTAAAATATAAAAAATTAGCTGGGCGTGGTGGCACGCGTCTGTAGTCCCAGCTGCTTGGGAGGCTGAAGCAAGAGAATTGCTTGAACCTGGGAGGCAGAGGTTGCAGTGAGCGGAGATCGCGCCACTGCACTTTAGCCTGGCGCCTGGCAACAGAACGAGACCCTGTCTCAAAAAAAAAAAAAAAGATTTAAGACTAAATCATCACATGTAGCTACCAGCTAGTAGACTGGACAAATCTAACACATAGATCTTGGTTGGAGAAATATATGTAAATATAGAGCCTAACTTAATGCCTGGCACGCAAACGGTTGTCAACAATGCTGGTGGTATTATTTTCACTCTCTATAAAACATATAGTAAAATTAACTGATGTTGACTAACACATGAATTTTCTGAGGTTTTCTGGGAGTTCTTTCTCATTTGCCTATTTGTGTGTATCTTTTATGATAGCCAATTTTCTAATTAAACAGCAAAGGCTGGGCCCGGTGGCTCACACCTGTAATCCCAACACTTTGGGAGGCTGAGGCAGATGGGTCACAAAGTCAGGAGTTTGAGATCAGCCTCACCAACATTGTGAAATCCCGCTCTTCTAAGAATACAAAAATTAGCTGGGTATAATGGCGCATGCCTGCAATCCCAGCTACTCAGGAGGCTGAGGCAGGAGAATCGCTTGAACCTGAGAGACGGAGGTTGAAGTGAGCCAAGATCACGCAATTGCACTCCAGTCTGGGCAACAGAGTGAGACCTGAACTAAAAAAAAATTTATATTTATGCACACACACACACACACACACAGAGTAAAATTAACTGATGTTGACTAACACATGAATTTGCTGAGGTTTGCTGGGAGCACTTTCTCATTTGCTTAACTATTTGTGTGTATCTTTTATGATAGCCATTTTTTAAATAAACTAAGCAGCAATCATTTTATTCTTTGGAATCCCAAAGACTAGAAATTATTGATGAATTACTGCTATTTTTTCTAGGTTTACATGAGAATCCACAAAGCCCACCTCCTCTCCCTGCTGAAAAACCTATTGGAAACACTTTCAGTACAGTATCTGGAAAACTCAGTAATGTTGACAGAACTAGAAACTCGGTAAGTGGTCATTATAGATTGTATTAGGTTGAAGAGGTAGCTATGCATTGATTATGAATAGTCAGCTGATATCTAAATTATTTTACTTCTGGTCAGATTAAAAACAAAAAGTCTTTATTAGAAACCAGTGTCTAAGCCCCATGTACTTATATAATGTGGTCTTCAATATGTTAAAAGTCCCTATAGAGAGATTAGGCCAACTCATTGTACTTCATTATAAAATAATTTGTATACCAACTTAATGACATTGTCTTTTAAATGGAAATAATAATTAGAAGGTTATTAAAATCTCTAAAAACCTTTAATATCTATGGAAATAACTTTAGTCAAGTTGTCGGTTTTTATTTAAAATACCCAATTAGTGATCAAAATTTAAGATAATTACTATAAGAATTTTTAAATCTGAAATTTAAGAAAAATGTTTTTTTAATTTAAAAAAATAGTGTTTTACTGTGTACTTGTTAAGATGGTAGTCAAAGAGATTTTTTGTGTATATATATATATATATATATTTTTTTTTTTTTTTTTTTCATTTCAACCTCAATATCCTCATACTTTTTTTCTGGTCTTCCAACTTTTGTGGTTTATTGGGAAAACACATAAAACATGTAATTACATAAGTGGTTTAAGAAAAAGAATAAAGGTCGCTGGGTGAGGTGGCTCATGCCTGTAATCCCAGCACTTTGGGAGGCCAAGGCAGGTGGATCACCTGAGGTCAGGAGTTCGAGACCAGCCTGTGAAACCTTGTCTCTACTAAAAATACAAAAATTAGCCCGGTGTGGTGGTGGCTGCCTGTAATCCCAGCTACTCAGGAGGCTGAGGCAGGAGAATCGCTCGAACCCGGGAGATGGAGGTTGCAGTGAGCCAGGATCATGCCACTGTACTGTAGCCTGGACAAGAGTGAGACTCCATCTCAAAAAAAAAAAAAAAGAAGAAGAAAATCTTTTGGAGGACTTTATGGGAAGCCCAAGAGAAAGCTTCTGATTCTTTTCTTTTTTAAATTGACAAATAATAATTGTACATATTCTTGGGATACATACTGATGTTTCAGTACATATACTATATAGGGATCAGATCAGGCTAATTAGCATATCTGTCATCTTAAACATTTTTCACTTCTTCTTTTTGGAATGTTCAATATCTTCCTTCCAGCTGTTTGAAACTATATATTATTGTTAACTATAGTCATCCTATAGTGGTATAGAACACTATAATTTATTCTTCCTATCTAGGTGTAATTTTGTATTCTTTAACAAACCTCCCTATCTCTCCCTTCTCCCTAACCTTCTCAGCCTCTAGTATCCTCTGTTCTGTTTTATTTCTATGAGATCAACTTATTTTTAGCTTCCATATATGAATTAGAACAAGCAGCATTTAACTTTCTGTTCCTGGCTTATTTCACTTAACATAATATCCTCCAGTTCCATTTATGTTGCCACAGATGACAGGATTCCATTCTTTTTAAGGCTGGATAGTATTCCATGTTGCATACATACCATATTTTCTTTATCCATTTATCTGTTGTTGGACACCTAGGTTGATTCTGTATCTTGGCTATTGTGAGTAATGCTGCAGTAAACATGGATGTGCAGATGTCTCTTCAATGTGATTTCCTTTCCTTTGAATAAATTCCCAGTAGTGGGATTGCTGGATCATATGGTACAGCTGGAGACAGATGTCTCTTCAATGTGATTTCCTTTCCTTTGAATAAATTCCCAGTAGTGGGATTGCTGGATCATATGGTACAGTTTTTTCCTCAAAAAACTACAAAAAATTTGTAGTTTTTTGAGGAACTCCCATCCTGTTCTCTACAATGGTTGTACAAGGTTACACTCTCACTAACAGTGTATAAGAGTTCCCCTTTTTCTGCATCCTTCCCAGCATTTGTTATTTTTTTATCTTTTAGATACTAGCCATCTCGACTGGGGTGAGATGATACCTCATTGCCATATTGATGTGAATTTCCCTGATGATTATTGTATTTTAATGTATTTGTTCGGCCATTTGTGTATCTTCTTTTGAGAAATAGCCAGATCATTTGCCTATTTTTTGTTTTCTTTTTTGAGATAGGTTCTTACTCTGTCTCCTGGGCTGGTGTGCAGTGGTATGATCACAGTTCACTGCAGCCTTAACCTCCTGGGCTCAGGTGATTCTCCCACCTCAGCCTTCTGAGTAGCTGGAACTCTAGGCACATGCCACCACACCCAACTAATAATTTGTATTTTTTGTAGAGACAAGAACACCACATTGGTCAGGCTGTTCTTGAACTCCTGGATTCAAGCAATCCTCCAACCTCCACCTCCCAAACTTTATTTGCCCATTTAAAATTCAGATTGTTTAGGTTTTTTGCTGTTAATGAGGTTTCAGTTTCTTTTGTATTCTCGATACTAATGTCCTGTCAGATAAGTGGTTTGCAAACATTTCCTGCCATTCTATATGTTGTCTTTTCACTCTGTTAATCGTTTCCTTTACTGTCCAAAAGATTTTTGGTTGATATAAGCTAATTTGTTTATTTTTGCTTTTGTTGCCTGTGTTTTTGAGGTCTTATTCATAAAATCTTTTCCAATACCAATGTCCTGAAGTGTTTTCCTGCTTTCTTCTAGTAGTTTTATTGTTTCAGATCTTAGATTGTGGTCTTCAAGTTGTGTTTTATATAGAGTGTGTGAGAGGGTTTTGTTTCATTCTTCTTCATATGGATATCTAGTTTTCCCCAGCACCATTTATTGAAGAGACTATGCTTTCCCCAAAGAGTGTTCTTGGCACTTTTGTCAAAAATCAGTTGGCTGTAGATATGTGGATTAATTTTTGGATTCTCTATTCTGTTCTGTGGGCCTATGTGTCTGTTATTATGCTAGTATCATGCTGTTTTGGCTACTACATCTTTGTGTAGTGTATTTTAAAGTTGTTAATGTGATACCTCCACCTTTGTTCTTTTTGCTCAGGATTGTTTTGACTATTCAGGGTCTTTTGTAGTTCCATACAAGATTTAGGATTTTTTTTTTCTATGTTTGTGAAGAATGCTGTTTGTATTTTGATAGGGATTGCATTGAATCTCTAAATTTCTTTGGGTAATATTCTCATTTTAACAATATTAATTATTCCAATCCATGAGCATGGGATGTCTGTTTGTTTATATCCTTTGTATCTTCTTCCATTTTTTCATCAGTGTTTTGTAATTTTTCCCTGTAGAGGTCTTTAACTCCCTTAGTTAAATTTGTTACAAAATATTTCTTTTTGTAGCTAATGTAAATGAGACTGACTTCTCCATTTCTTTTTTTAGCTATTTCTTTGTTCATATATAGAAATGCTACTGATTTTATATATTAATTTTGTATCCTGCAACTTTTCTGAATTCATTTATCAATTCTAAGAGGGTCTTTCTTTTTTTTTTTGGTAGAGTCTTTATGTTTTTCTAGATATGAGATCACACTCTTTTTTTATTTTTATTTTTTTTGAGATGGAGTCCCGCTCTGTCACCCAGGCTGGAGTGCAGTGGAGCATCTTGGCTTACTGCAACCTCTGCCTCCTGAGTTCAAGCGATTCTCCTGCCTCAGCCTCAGCCTCCCAAGTACCTGGGACTACAGGTGCTCACCACTATGTCCGGCTAATTTTTTTTTTTTTTTTTTTGGATTTTTAGTAGAGAAGGGGTTTCACCATGTAGGCCAGGCTGGTCTTGAACACCTGACCTCAAGTGACCCTCCCACCTCAGCCTCCCAGAGAGTCGATTACAGGTGTGAGCCATCATGCCCAGCCCACACTCATGTTTTCTTAAATTTCCATATGGCATATGATCTTTAAGGCTTTTTTTTCTTTCTTTCTTTCTTTCTTTTTTTTTTTCCAAAAAGATGGGGTTTCACCATGATGTCCAGGCTGGTCTTGAACTCCTGACCTCAGGTGATCCACCCAGCTTGGCCTCCCAAAATGCTAGGATTTCAGGTGTGAGCCACCGTGCCCAGTCAAGGCTTGTTTTAAGAGAAATTAACTTTTAAAGTCTTTGAACCAAATTTTCAGTTCAAATTTCATAATGGTTTTACATTGTGCATTAACTATGCTTATTATACTGGCAAACCCACCTAATCATCTGGCAAAGAAAAATTTCTTTGAAGGAGACATTAAATTAGCCAGTATGAAGTTAATGAGATTTTCCTGAAGAATGAATTAAAATTTAGAGATCACTTGTGATTTTCAAAATAGCTGGTAATAAACTTTTATTAAATCTGGGCCAAGAAAGCCCAAAAGAGGATAGTAGGGTTCCTACCATACTAATGTTAAATAGGAAAATCCCAAATTCTTATGGAAGAAAAGTTGCTTGAGAAGGTTACTGGCTTCTACTCTGAAATGGTTATAAAAACGAGTGAGAGGGTGATAAGTAAGGAAAACATCATTCATTAATGTCCATCATAACATAACATCCATCATACATAATGGATTTTGTAAACTAAAGATCTGTTGAAATAGTATTTGGGCACCGTGGCTCCCACCTGTAATCCCAGTACTTTGAGAGACCGAGGTGGGCAGGTTACTTGAGATCAGGAGTTCTAGACAAGCCTGGCCAACATGGTGAAACCCCGTCTCCACTAAAAATACAAAAGTTAGTCAGACATGTTGGTGCATACCTGTGATCCCCTCTACTTAGGAAGCTGAGGCAAGAGAATTGTTTGAACCCAGGAAGTGGAGTTTGCTGTGAGCTGAGATTGTGCCACTGTACTCTAGCCTGGGCAACAGGGCAAGACCCCATCTCCAAAAAACAAATAGTATTATACAAAAATTAGTCAGGTGTGATGGCACATACCTGTACTTCCAGCTACTCGGGAGGCTGAGGCACAAGAATTGCTTGTGTCTGGGAGGCAGAGGTTGCAATGAGCTGAGATTGCGCCATTGCACTCCAGCTTGAGTGACAGAGAAAGGCTCTGTCTCAAAAAAAAAAAAAAGAAAAGAGGCCAGGTGCGGTGGCTCACACCTATAATCCCAGCACTTTGGGAGACCAAGACAGGTGGATC